TACTTAGTGGCATTTTTACAGCGACATGAACTATTCTTTCACAAGCCTACCGAAGGATAAAACATGGAGAGCAACGATTTCTAAAAAGTCACAAATTCAATTCACATTCCATTTTTTAAGTTTCCTTATAATACAATGTGTATTAATTTTATCTCTATGTAGACAGTATTAGTGGTGGAAAAAGACCCAAAATGTTTTTCTTCTGTTATACCTGTTTTACTCCTGAGAATATCTCCTGCTGTATCCATTATATTATTCTTCAGTGAAGGTTGAAAAGATATCCAGCCAACACCTACAGTTTTTGTTTCCTGTTACTAAATGAACCCTCATTTTTTCAGCATTTTAAAAAATAAACGTGATCTCCAGTCCTTTTGTTCATTTCACACATTAAATATTTATGTCAAAAAAAAAAAAAAAAGGTTACCAATGCTTAAAGAGGGGCTAGATCTCACCTTTTCAAAACATTTGAAGCACACTGTCTGGGAATTGTTTAGGGACAGGAGAGAAAAAGATGATATAATTTGTATGTGGTAGTGTGTGAAATGGCATTAATGTTCAAGCATGACTTTAATAAACTAGACATAATTAGCGTAAATGTGTTGAGTCCATTGATGTCCTGTAAACCTCTATCAGGTGAAGCATAATTAAATTTTCTTTTTACGTTTTTCTGATAGAGTTCTCGGTAATGAAACAGAACCCACATGGCATGAAAAGCTGTTTTATTTGTAAATATGTATGCACATATATTCTATGAATAGACTCTTAGTGTATAACTACATAAAAGCTTTTCTACCAAGTGTTGTTTATCACTGTTTTGGAATATCAGTGTTGTGTTGTGGGAAATCTAGCATGCTTTAAAAATCTGGCAGAATCAAAAAGGAAAGCAAAGTGAAAAATGACACTTGGTTGCTAGTTAAAACTGAAAGCTAGTAAATCTCTTCATCCTCCAATACTGAAAGGATAACACTGGTTCAAAAAGAACGAGAAAGGTGAATAACAAGTATACACGTTCTTCAAAAACCACATACAGTGAACTGCAGGAAGTAATTCTTCTCAAAAGAGTCCATTAATATTGACTAGTTATGGTGGGTTGACCTTGGCCAGCTTCCAGGCACCCATCCAGCCACTCTCACTTACCCTCCTCAATGGGATGGGGGAGAAAATGAGGTGAAAAAGCTCGTGGGTGGAGATAAAGGCAGGGAGATCACTCACCAATTACCAGCATGGGCAAAATGGATTTGAATTGGGGAAAATTAATTGGATTTATTGCCAGTTAAATAGAGTTGGATGGTGAAACAGAAAGACAAAATTAAAGCAACACCTCCCCCTCCTTTTTTGCAGGATCAACTTCACTCTTTCATTGCTGACTCCTCTACCTCCTCCACCCCAAGCAGTGCAGGAGAATGGGGAATGGGGGTTGTGGTCAGTCCGTAACAGTTCCAGCGTGGGTCCTTCCCACAGGCTGCAGCTGTTCAGGATAAATTTGCTCCAGCATCGGGTCTTCCACGGACTGCAATGTGTATATCTGCTCCACTGTGCTCTGTCCTGTGGCTGCAGGGGCATGTCTGCTCCAGTGCCTGGAGCACCTCCTCTCCTTCCACCTTCTCTCATCTTGGTGCTTGCAGGGCTGTTTCTTTCATATTTTTCTCATTCCTCTCTCTCACAGTTGCACAGTTACATCATTGACTGACTAATAGTGAATGAGCAAAGGAACAGGAGGAGGGAAGGAGAGCAAGCAAGCTGAGAAATGATTAAGCATAGTGCCGTAAAATGGGCACAAAGACAGTTGGTTAATCTGGATAGAGAGGGAAGAAGCATTTTCTTACTTATTTTTATTATAAATTGCTCAATTTATCTTTTTTCCATCTCTTTAATCTTTTTGACATTCTATGTAGGTATTCATGAATATTCCACTCATTTTGCAATAATTTATAAATTTAACTTACATTTGATGATTCCTCAGAGTAAGTAGGAAGTTATGGATGGAAAATCCAGACTGAATTCTAGGGAATGGCAATGTATTTTGGAGTGGGAAAAAAACAAATTTCTCAGCTGACATTTTACTTTTAAATTGACAAATGTTTTGCCAATGAGCATTCTTATGGTACAGAGAAAGTACCTAAATATTACTCATTTAAGTTAGCGTTCCTTGTGTTGTCTTGATTTTCTAACACCGCTTAATCTCTTACTTGCCTTTCTAGATCGATTTGCAGTATTAGCAAACAATAATCTCCAAATTCTTAATATCAATAAAAGTGATGAAGGAGTATACAGATGTGAAGGAAGAGTGGAAGCCAGAGGAGAAATTGACTTTCGGGACATAATTGTTATTGTGAATGGTAAGGAGTAAAAATTTTTGAATTGACTTCTTGCTTTACTTAATTATCATAACCTATTTTAAAATATATCACCTTCTAAAAAATCCTGATTAAACTGATTAATATAGTTGTCATGTCTGTTTAGTATTGTTTTCCTATAAATGTAATTGCTTAATATTTTTTTAAAAATCTACTACACTGTGTAAATAGAATTCATTGCATTTCGTAATATCAGTGTATATAAATATGTAAAAGCTGGATTATTGTTTTTAATCATTCACGGAACATTGACAACGCAAGACTTGAGTTTCAGATTATAATATATAGTAGTTCAGTTTACTCTGTATTTTTCAGTGTTTTGGCATTCACTGTTAAAAAAAACCCGCTTGGTTTTTCATAGTTATTCATCTTCACTGCATTGAACATATTTTATTAACTGTCCCAAAAGTCACAGATACATTTTATTAAGATTAACAGTATTACTTTTAGATTTTTAACATTTCATTTTTATGAGGAGTAAAATATATAATGAGTTATCTGAAATGTGGCGTTATACATTTTATCAGTTTATAATAAACTACTAAGAAGGAATATGAACGGATTAAGATAAGATGGAGCATTTAGCTCAACCTCTCTCTTAAATTCAGGGTTGACCTGTTGAAAAATAAATATCTCTTCATATATTGTCCAGAAAGGACACAGTTTCTACAGGGCATTTTTTAATCTATACATTCTGTTTAATGTCAGTTTTTCAATGAAACTCCTTCCATCGTGCCTATTAGGTTCAGAGTTTTAAATGCTTTGTCCTTGACTGGTCCTTCTCGGCAAACACCAGTTTACAGAAGTCATTATGTAAGTTGAATTCTCAGTTAATTTCAGGAGAAGAAACAGCTTCTGGCACAGGTATTTAATCCATATAGTCAAGCAGCAATATGAAGCATAATTCTTTAGATTGTTGTAGATAGCACACAGACAGTGGTAAGCAAATGGGTGATTATCCTACATATTGTGATGGAACAAACAAGTACATGTCCTATGCACTGTGAAGACGCCCAACAAATTGCTTTCTTCTCTGTGCATTGTGGTGCTGCATTACCTTGAGTCCTGGTTATGTATAGTTCCAACAGTGCATCCGATAACATTTAAAATGCTGAATGAGATTTGCTTCTGCTGCTACTTATGTACATGGATATGAACCTCCATTCTGAACATCTTTCACTTCTATCTGATATTTATATGCAGTTGAGCTGATAGCGAGCCTGTATTTAACCTAAAAAGTCAGATTGCAAACTATGGTCTGACTTCACATCCTTTATTGGTGGATTATATCCACAGATTTGGTTATTCATATGTTTATTATGACTCTAGACAAGAAAGCTAACACTCACTTACCTCTAGACTTCAGTTCACAGTGTTGGGAGGAGAAGGGGTTGCCAATTGAGCGATTCTGACACGGTTGCTCATGTAGAGTGGTATCAATTAAGAGCTATTTTCTGCTTCATTTATAGGAATAAATGACTTTTAGAATAATATTAAAAATCAGGAAGAAAGAAAAATTGTAGTGCTCTTTGGTGAAAAGGAAAACCTATGAATGAATCAGATTCAGAAAAGAAAAGAAAAAATAGGAAAAAAAGGAGCAATCTGTAGGCCAGTTAAAGCTATATGGATGTATTTCCACCATGTCTCCTTTTCAAAAAAATAAGCAATAATGCTTACATTGGATGATAATCAAAGCTTTGTATAAAAAGAAAAAGTTATCATGACAGTATTTGTATGTAGAAGCTATTCAAATTTAGATTTGAATAAACTCAAATTATAAGTTTATTTACTTATATTGCAATAGTGCCTACAGGATCTATAGAAAGATCTAAGATCTGTACAAACACATAGTAAGAACCACACAAGGTCTCCAAAGCTGGATAAAATGCAGCTAAACAACAAAGAAATAGGAATACTCACCCGAGAGTGCTGAGGGAGCTGGCGGAGGAGCTTGCAAAGCCACTCGCCATCATTTATCAGCAGTCCTGGTTAACGGGGGAGGTCCCGGACGACTGGAGGCTTGCCAATGTGATGCCCATCTACAAGAAGGGCCGGAAGGAGGTTCCGGGGAACTACAGGCCTGTCAGCCTGACCTCGGTGCCGGGGAATATTGTGGAGCAGTTCATCTTGAGGGCGCTCACAAGGCAGGTGTGGGACTACCAGGGGATCAGGCCCAGCCAGCACGGGTTCATGAGAGGCAAGTCCTGCTTGACCAACCTGATCTCCTTCTATGACCAGGTGACCCGCCTAGTGGATGAGGGAAAGGCTGTGGATGTGGTCTACCTGGACTTCAGTAAGGCCTTTGACACCATCTCCCACAGCATTCTCCTGGAGAAGCTGGTGGCTCACGGCTTAGACAGGTGTACCCCCTTTGCTGGGTAAAAAACTGTCTGGACGGCCGGGCCCAGAGAGTTGTGGTGAATGGAATTCAATCCAGTTGGCAGCCGGTCAAAAGCGGCGTTCCCCAGGGCTCAGTATTGGGGCCAGTTCTGTTCAATATCTTTATCAATGATCTGGA